GGAATTCATTTGTTTAGTCAATTACCAAAATTTGGATGATTTTGAATATTCACTTGAAAAGTTATCAAAGAAAAACATTTTTCATTTTGTAACTTCGAGGGCCCGTAACTTGGTTACGAAGACTTTTAGGAAAAAAAGTTATATGAAGTACTGGTGATATTTTGACCCCATCTATACATTCACGAGAGGAAAAGAGGAAGTCCAGGGACACCCTGTATAGTAACATGACCATTTTTGAGTAGAGTAGAGAGTAAAAAATTCACTGGGGATTACTCAAAAAATGTGTTCACTAACGGTGCATAAATCCTTCGAAAACAATAATGAGAAGAAACTTTTTTTCTATTATCTACCAAAATAAAGAGTTACTATCTTTATGAATTACGTCTTTTCTACAATTTACTAATACGCTGAGGGTTGGTTTTTCAATGCCAGCTAAGCTTTAGCTAAAAGCTACAAACAAGCGGTTCACCAAGAGCTTCACAGAGAGCTAACTCATTTGTCAAACCAGTAACTATTGAACTAATACCTCTGACAAATGTTGGAGACAGATTGGGCAACCCTGTTGAAAGGTCTGATAGACCAATTTGAAATTCTGCAAATTCCAGGTTAGGACAAGCGAAAGTTCACAGAGGGCAAACAATACCGAAGTGAGACTTGGTGAAATTTTTTGGCACGACTTAACGTGGGCTCAACAAAATTAACGGTCTTGACAGGTATACAGGTAATAGACGACGTCCTCTGTGAAAGAAAGTATTATTTGCCGGTCACTGCAACAGGCTCTAGAACTCGCTGAGAAGGGCGAAATCAACGAACCCTGGCCCGAGACAGGTATGCACTGCACATCTAGGCACCGAAAACGAATGAGAGACTAAACACAAGATCAGGGACACTACGGCCGTAAAATGAATAATTTCGCAGGATGTGATTTTTGCGGTAAGGTAGGATTGTTTCAGGAGGTAAGGTTTGTGTTATACATGTGGAGAGGTAGGACATAGGATAGCCTAATGTTCAGTAAGACGGAGGACAAGTAACTACGCCAGAGAAAATTCAAACGAAATACCGTTACTCCGCGTTATCCCGGCAGGAGTCGGTGAAAACTCAGTAATATAGAAGGAAAAGTATGAACGTCCATATCTGCGTGCACGGATATTGGCGCCCAGAAGAACACCATTATAAAAACTAATCAATACAGTTCATTGTATGATTTTCATTATGAGGGTTTTACAAAAACCGCGACACGTGTTTCGCTATACAATAGGTTCTTCAAGCATAAACTGAGAGTTACTTCTAAATTAAGCCATTTTATACTCTAACCTATTCGTCTACCTAAATAATAAATCTACTTGAAAAATACAGGTATGAATTCATTAACAATAGCAATACATTTTTCGAAAGTATACCTGTAAATATACCTAACTATTTTTACCTGTGATTGAACGAATTCGATAATGGCGAATTATTCAATTCAGATTGATCGTTTCTAAGATGTTGAGAGTTTTTGAATTTGTTTATTACCATACTCTCCAACAGGTTAAGTTTCAAACTTTCCTTCTGGAAATGGAGGGGTTTGTATTCATGGTTGAACTCATGTCCCTCTGTGTTCAGTTTTTCTGAAACTGAACTTTTATCTTTGTTATTTTTAATGTGCATGCCCAAGTTGTTGTTGGTTTTGAAAGTAGTATTAACACTTTTGCTGTGCAGAAAATCTGAAATGTTTGTAGTGGGTTGGCCTAAGTAGGTTGATGTTCTATAACTTTTATTCGCTTCTCTTCGAACTGGGTAAACTTCTTTCAAAGCTTGACTGTATAACTTTTTTGATAATAAAGAATATATCAGACCGCTATCGTAATCATTGTTGACGGCCATTTGCTATGCTGATATGGGTGAGTAGATGAATTATAAAGGATAATATCTGTATGTACCGGTTTACGATAAATTGGTAAATCATGTTTGTTGTTAACTTTTGTTATTGTCCAGTCCAAAAAATGTATAGATTCGTCCTGTCCCATCTCCTTTGTGAATGTGATAGAAGGGTAGAGAGAATTGATGAACTTCAAAAAGTTTGTCAACTGTCTGTTCGTTCCCGTGAAACATACCAGGATATCATCCACATATCTATACCAATACACGAAACTTTTTACCAATGGGTTACTGTGTATTCTTCTCTTCAAATCGTCCATAAAAATTTCTGCCAGAATAGGACTAAGTGGGTTTTCCATTATGAGACCTTTGTAGGATAAATAAAACGTTTCATTGAATTGGAAGTAATTCTAGGATAAACACACCGTAAGCCCGTGGTATGTTTCACGGGAACGAACAGACAGTTGACAAACTTTTTGAAGTTCATCAATTTTCTCCATACCTCTATCACATTCACAATGGAGATGGAACAGGACAAATCTATACATTTTTTGGACTGGACAATAACAAAAGTTAACAGCAAACATGATTTTTCAATTTATCGTAAACCGGCACATACAGATATTATCATTTATAATTCGTCCACTCACCCAAATCAGCATAAAGTTGCATACCTGACATTTTCAGGTAGATTCATTATTTAGGTAGACGAATAGGTACTAGGTTAGATTATAAAATGGTTTAATTCAGAAGTAACTCTCAGTTTATGCTTGAAGAAGCTATTGTATAGCGAAACACATGTCGCGGTTTTTGTAAAACCCTTATAGTGAAAATCATACAATAAACTGTATTGATTAGTTTTTCAAATATGGATTTTCATCAAGTATTAGCCAGTTCTATTCAATAAATGTGTTGATAGATAACGGTGCTCAATGCGCTTTACGCGATGTGCAAGGTAATATGACTCCGTACAAAAGGTATACAAACATGCAATTAAGATTTGGTGATTTTCAAGTAATCGGACATGATATTTTAGTAGTGCAGGTAGCATATTCTATTGCGCATTTGTTATTAGGAATGGAATTCCTACTAGAATACAGTGTGAAGATGTGTTGGACCACAAACATGAGCATCCGCATGTTTTTGGGGCCAGAAACTCCAGTAGAATCCAAGAATGGATAGAAAGGATAGAAAAGAATTTAGAACGTATGTAGAAATATTTGATTGTTGTTTTGAAGTAGTTGAATAAAAGTCCCTCTAGGAGCAGATGATCGGGATATACGAGTTATTTCTCCTTCTACAGAGCCTCTCCAATGATTCATCTCATTTGAGAACCGGAGAAGAACCCAAACAGAGTCAGAGCATAAGTACGATAATATAAGGAGTCGCAAAAACATTTTTGTGTTTAGAAAATGCATTTTCAACTTCAGAATCTTCAGTATTCCCATGCTTCCATAATATGAAGGTGTCTTCAACATATCTCAACCAAACTCGAGGTTTCTTGTGGGCTTCTTCAACGGCAAGATTTTCAAACCACTCCATTTATATGTTGGCTGTGACTGGTGAAAGTGGTGATCCCATTGGCAGTCCGTCATCTTGTGTAAAAAATTCGTCCCGCAGTTGGAAATAACAGTTTCGTACACAGCATCCTAGTAATTCCATAATTACTTCTATAGGTAGATTCGTTCTCTCTTTCAGGTTCCCGTCTTCGGATAGCTTTCTCTGTATGATTTGGAGTGCTTCTTTAAACCGGAACTCCAAAGCGATGGTAGAAAAGACTTTAGCTAAAAGACAGCAGGAGCCTCACAAGACGTCACAACCAGTGCTTGCACTTCCCTACACCAGAGGATTATCGGAGAGGTTAAGAAGAATTGGTTCCAAGTACAACATCAGAATCTGCTTCAGATCCGGTAACACTATCCGTAGCAGCCTCACGAAAACCAGGCCACCAAACCCGGACTGCGATTCCAAAAATTGAATTTACCGGATA